AGAGTAAACTACTATACCTATAAGTATCTGAATTGAAATATTTAAAACTATACATTTTATTATTGATCTATTAAAAAAAATACCAGTATTGTATGAATTGCTTACAAAAGTCTCAACCCTATACGCACGYTCATTATTGTAACTTTTAAAGTAGGTAAGTATGATAAATKATGAAATGTTTGTTGTTTTTTAGTAATATGTTTAATAGTGTTATAAAGGGGGTGCTGTGGAAAAGCCTCTCACGAATTTATTAGGTAGGTTTATTATTTAACTATATGCCTATATAGAAACTTAATTTTTATTATGAAATCTGAGTATCTTTACAATTTCTTTTTAAGACAAGCATTGATTTTATTGACATATGATATATTTTAATACTAAAATGTCAGTAATCTACCAATTAAATATTATCCTTTTACGTCATGTAACCTTCTATAATATTTTATAATATATTATTTTAATTCTATAATATATACAATTACACATGTATATGTCTAAAACCAAATCTAAATTTAATATTTATACTTTCTAAAAATATCCTCCCGATTTTAAACTTGTTATTTTAAACGAAAGAACGTTTTTTTAAAATTTCAAACTACAATATTCTTTGTTTAACATCTCCAAATAAAAAATATTGAAAACTACCAAAGATAAAATACAGAAAATATTTACCTCTTTAAATGTTATAGTAGGTCAATGCATTAAAAACAAAAAACTTGGAAGCAACAGTTATGAAAATGCAGAGGTAGCATTATTTTACTATTTCTTGTATATTCGATAAACAAAAACACATCGGTATACATATTTTATCTTATTCCAAAACAAACAAATATTGTAAAAATATGAATTTCTAACATCCATAATATATTTCAGTACATACACTTTTTTTATGAAGTAGTAAATTATTTTATAATTGATTTCTTATAATGCTGCGTTATAGTGACGCTTAATAATAAATCGGTAAGTATTTTACAATAATTTACCATATTATTAAGTTTTAATTTTGTGAAAATGTATTATTCACTTTTCACTTTAATAAAGTTACTAAACTTTACAGGTGTTTTACAATGATTGCATTTTTTCCCAATTATTTTAGCATCATAAAAGGTTTCATTAAAAAAATTAATATTTATTTATGTTGTGTTTGATTTGATTAAAAATTAAAATATAGTGAGTTAAAACATGGTATATATATTAGAAAATAATATGTGCATAAATATTTTAAGTAAAAATTTACGAATGCCAAAAATATCATAACTTTAATCAAAGCTACTAGTTTTGGCTTTTAGGCCATCTCCACATGTAAC